ACGCGGGAAATTATGGCGGGGAATATGCAGAACACGGCACATTATGGCGAGAAAATACTGTTACATACAACCCTTGGGGTATCGCTGGGTAAGCATAAAGCTGTAATTTCCTCAGCAGAGGATATGAAAGGGTTTTATTCCGGGAAGACGGGACGATGAAGAAATAAATTGCTTGGACATTCCTGACTATACAGTGTACATGTATTGTATTTCTCTTAGGAGTTCCCTCCTCCAAGCTCCGCCATGACACCAGAAGCTACGCGGCAAAGATGGCAGCAAGGTAACAAGAAATCTTCTTTGTTATATTTGTGTTGTGTGTCTACCAGCCTAGGTAGAGCAAGTGTCATTGATAGCCGTTATCTCTGTTGTCTTTGCACAGTTGATGTATCCCAACACACTTTTTTGTTGCTATTTTTTGTCGCTTTTCAGGTACAGCCTTTAAGACTCAAAAGGAAGTAGTTAAGGCGATCTTTGTGAATAATATTGAAAGGCTTGGTCACCACTATGCTCGAGTGTTTGATAAATCTTGGTGAATTAGTACACCAGTGTCAGGAGGTCAAAATGTAAATAAATGTATAGTTACCGAGTCTGAAGTGTGTTCTGTATTTGTCTTGACAAACCTTGACCAGCTTTTGTACTTAACCGATTTTTTTTTTGTTCAAATCTAGCGGAAAATTAAAACAATTCAACCATTCTGACTTTTAAGTGTGGTAAATTCATCGATTCGGCCCTCATCTCTTCAGACGCTATAATTTCAAGAGATCAATGATCTGTTACTTATAATTTGAGGCAAATTAACCTAGCTGCCTTAATTTCTCGTCGATCAACATCGTTTTTCTTTTTTCATTAGAGTGAATTCGTGTAACCCGTTCCTTATATGTTAATGAGGCGCATAATATTCTAATGACCAGTTTGGTTACGCAAGAGATTGTTTTGCCGTTAGAATGTACTGGACTGTTTAAAATCTGAACCAGAATATTATTTGCAAGGGAAAAAACAGTGAAGATGGGCGGAACACGCGTAGTACTTTTGAATATTCTTGCCATTTTTTCAGTGATGTTACATTACATTATATGGCTGGCTTTCTTACGCCTGTGGTTGAGAAACACTACTCGCGCTGGTACTTGCACGCCGGCATGCAAACATCGGAAGAAAACAATATCTCATTTAAGGCTTGTTATTTTGAATAAATGCCCACAATTAGGAATTTGAAGCGCAAGGAGAGTTTTCTTTTCTATTCAACCTTGATTCCCAAAATTTGGAAATGGGGACAAATGGCATGGTTCGGAAATTTCCCGGGAAATTAAATTTTCCAAAAAAAGCGGAGATTATTTAATTTCCGCAAAGCGAACCATTCAACCGAAAATACCGGAAGGAAAATCAAATTTAGGACAAAATTCCGGGAAAGAAATTTTCGAAAATTTGGATACACCTCGCGAGATTGTTCTTGTGTTCTTAAATTCCAGAAAATGCTCTTCAACTCGTCAATTTAGATTTCCAGAAATTCAAACCGGAATTTTTCACCCAATGGAAAGTGACATTGGTTTCAGTTTGGTGCGTGCTTTTTTAATTGTTTTTCTCATTACTACTTGGTGAGTCTTATTAGCATATAAAAAAGTGGTTATACGAATTCACTCTACCGATCGCGCAATACATACCTATCACGCGTGCACACACACAGACGCATCTGTGTCAGTTTGTGGCATTTCGCTCGTTCTGTTGACCTCAGACCAAAATGGTGTGAGACAAGAAAAAGTGTAGTTAGTAAATCGACCGGCTGGAATTGAAATCAGACTGATACTTCAATACGCTTGATATGTATATTACATATAATTTGTCTGACCTGTGTGAAGCTGAGAATAGGACTGGAAAATTTCAAAGGTGTATTTGCCCGTGTGTGGTCAATATAGCGATGACCAGCAATCGCCTTTCTTTCGCTTCAGTTGAGATCGACAAAAATTCGGCTCTACCCCGGTGGAAAAGTTTGTCTCACAGGTGGTCACGTGACCAGCCGCAACCAGAGTCTTTCTCCCAACGACAAGAGAGGCAGAAGAGATAGAGCCTGGGAACGAGATTGAAACGATATTCCTCAGTGACGTCGCGAGTTCTGTGAGGATTATTGTGGTTTCCGAAAAGCGAGGACAACAAGAGATTTGTAAAGGCCAGTGTTTTTTAATCAACGCTCTCCCATCTTTTATGCGAGATTTCGTGCTGGAAGTTGGTCGGATCACTTATTTTATTTTGAGGTGCTCTTTGCACTCGTGTCGAATGTCTTTTGATAAAGTAAAAATGAAATATTTCAAACCCCGTTATCGTGGATTTTTTTATATTACGTATTGACTATAATCCCGGCAGCTGAGAACAATGTAGTAACAGATGTTCGACGGAAAGAGTTATTTAAATCTCTTAAGAGTATTATTCTATGTTTCTTTGGAAATGGTAAGCGATTCCTTACAGTCATTTTGGTTGTCCAGTTGACCAAATTATCGGAGTTCGAGCATACTATAAAGTGGTTCGTTGAATTCAAAAATTTATGGCCAGAGAACACGAAAGCGTCACCTGCTAATTAATACTGTTTAGAACGAAAATTGGGATAAATATATATAGCACATTTTTTTATCTCCATATTCGTCTTTTCACTCCATAGTATTCCAAGCAGACGCCTTTGGGCTCGTCGTATTCTTCCTTCAGATAGACTGCGTGATGAGTTAAGGGTGGGGGGATTTAAGAGTGACAATTAATGTAACTTGTGCTATTTTTACGGAAACCTCTCTACGAGAAGCAAGCACAATGCTTGAAGTTGAAAATGCGGCCCTTTAGCATTGAGTAGGCATCAAAAGAAAAAAAAAAAAAAAAAAA